AGAGCAAATTAAGTTTCTCCTGGTCTGACGACAGAAATGGAGGAGGACAGAAAGCCTGCAGAACTGTAGGTCTAACAACATTAGTAGGGACCTTAGGAACATAACCTGGCCTAGGGTATAGAAAAGCCTTAACCATACCAGGCGAAAATTCCAGGCACGAACTGCTGGCCTCAGCCTCAAAGTGCCACGAAGGAAACGAGTTATAAGCGGGTGTCTCCCAAGAGAAACTCCACTGAAAGGGACGTGGTAAGCAGCCAGTGCCGCCACATACACCTTTAGTGTGGAGGGGGATAACCCTGTGGAGAAACGCTCCTGCAGGAATTCCAGCACTGCACCCACTGGGCAGTTAACTGGGTCCTACAGGTGTTCTCCATACCAAGAAGTGAAAAGTTTTCACTTCAAAGGCATATAGCTTCCTCGTGGATGGAGCTCTGGAGTGAAGGATGGTCTCAACAACCTCGGTTGAGAGACCGGAATCTAAGAGCTGGGCCCCCTCAGAGGCCAAGCCCACAGTTTCCATAACTCTGGGCGGGGGTGAAATATCATGCCGCCCGCCTGAGAGAGTAGATCCCTCCTGACCGGGAGCTCCAAAGGAGAGCCGTCCAGGAGAGAAACTAGGTCCGCAAACCATACTCGGGCCGGCCAGAACGGGGCTACTAATAGTAGGCTGACCCCGTCCCGGCGAACCCTCTCCAGAACTCCTGGTAGCAGAGCAATCGGGGGAAAAGCGTACAGACGTGACCTCGGCCACGGCTGCACATAGCGTCCAACCCCAGAGGGGCTGGATGAATGATGGAGAACCACAGACGACAGTGCGATATCTCCTTGGAAGCGAATAGGTCCGCCTCGGCGCGACCGAAACTCAACCAAAGGAGCTCCACCACCTCGGGGTGGAGTCTCCATTCCCCCGGCCTCGGCCCCTGCCTCGACAGAGAGTCCGCTACCACATTCAAATACCCAGGAAGATACATTGCTCTCAGTGATAGTAACTTCCCTAGGGACCACAGGAGGACCTGACGGGCCAACTTGTAAAGCCGGCGAGAGCGCAGGCCCCCCTGACGATTTAAATAAGAGACCACCGACGTGTTGTCTGACTGAACTAGCACATGATGACCTCTCAGGTCTGCTAGGAAGTGTTTCAGAGCCTGAAACACTGCCAACATCTCTAGACAATTTATATGCCGTGATAGATGATGGTCCTGCCACAGACCTTGGGCTGGACGACCACTCATGACCGCCCCCCACCCTGTGAGGGAAGCATCCATCGTTAGCTTTACGCGACGACAAAGAGCCCCCAGCACAGGATCTTTGGATAGGAACCAAGTTTCTTTCCACAAGACCAGAGCACGAAGGCAGCGCCGCGTGACTTTGATCGTGCGGAGTGGACTTCCCCTCGGGGAGAATCCCTTGGTCCTGGGCCACCACCGCAGCGGTCTCATGTACAACAGGCCAAGGTATAACGTTGGACACTGCTGCCATCAAACCCAACAGTTTCTGAAACTGCTTTACAGTGAGTAGCTGGCCTAGCTTTACTGTTTCAAGGCTGAAGAATCGAAGCGATGCGGGTGACCTAATCCCAAACAACGCCCAGAAAAGTGGTCTCCAGGGAAGGAGATAAACACTTTTCTTCGCGTTCAGCCTCAACCCCAACTTCCTGATATGCGCGAAGACGACATCTCGATGTCGAACCGCCATCTGCTCCATAAAGTACGGGGAGATAGCTAGACCGAACGGAAGAACCCTATATTGGAATGCCTCGCCCCCGAAGGCAAACCTCAGGAACTTCCTGTGTTGTGGAAGTACGGAAATGTGGAAGTAAGCGTCCTTTAGATCTATCGTGACAAACCAGCCCTCGGACCTGATTTGTGACACGACCTGCTTGATAGTGAGCATCTGAATTGAGCTTCCCTACCGAGCGATTTTATAGGCGCAAATCTAAAATTGGACGCAACCCCCCATCCTACTTTGGAACGATGAAATATCGGTTGTAATAACCTAGCTCCAAACTGGGAGGAGGAACCCGTTCTATAGCCCCCTTTTGAAGGAGCATTTTCACCTCTTGTTCCATTACCAGAGCCTGCTCGGGGCCCACACTATGGGCAGAACCCCTCTGAGTTTCGGTGGACGACACCTAAATTGGATCGCATAACCTCTTACTACTGTCTGCAGGACCCACTGAGATATTATTGGAAGGCTTTTCCACTCTGCCAAACAAATTCTACTAAGGGTACCAGTCTCTCGAGACTGGTCTCTGGTGTAATTTGAGCAGCAAACACAGCGCCCTGTAACGGCGCACCGGCAGGGAACAACTGGTTTGACCGCTCTGAGACCCTCCTCAGAGGGAGCGAGCGTCCCTCGGGAAAGCACTCGCTGGGACCGTCTACGCCCCGGCATGAAGGCGGGGTTGGCAGAACGGGCCCCTGAGGGCACCGAGGAAGAATGGGCACCGTAAAAAGAGGTGAACACCTTTCTCCCTCGATGGGGACCACCCTCAGTGTCAGAGGCAGCGAGCGTCCCTCGGGAAAGCGCTCGCCAGGACCGTCTGCGCCCCGGCATGAAGGCGGGGTTGGCAGAACGGGCCCCTGAGGGCACCGAGGAAGAATGGGCACCGTAAAAAGAGGTGAACACCTTTCTCCCTCGATGGGGACCACCCTCAGTGTCAGAGGCGGCGAGCGTCCCTCGGGAAAGCGCTCGCCAGGACCGTCTGCGCCCCGGCATGAAGGCGGGGTTGGCAGAACGGGCCCCTGAGGGCACCGAGGAAGAATGGGCACCGTAAAAAGAGGTGAACACCTTTCTCCTTCGGTGGGGACCGCCCTCAGCATAGCCAATATAACTGTCCTCAAACCAGTTCTATTGCTTTTTTTTTTTTTTTTATTATATATATATATTTTATATATATATTATATTATATTTATTTTTCAAAAAGCTTTGGCTGAGAGTGCCGCGTCTGGTCCCACTGTCCAGCAGGGGGAGCGCGAGACGCGATACTCTGCTTTGCTGCGCCTATGCGATGAGCTCGTGAACGGCCGGGGCTGCTCCCGCCCAGCAGCCCCGTGGACGTGAACTTTTAATGGAAGAAACCTTTTAAAAGCTGCTGCCTGCTTCTTTTCTTCCTGAAATTATCAATGACAGTATTAACTAACTCACTGAATAAACCCGCAGGGGAGAGAGGATCATCTAAAAGAAAGCTTTCTCTTTCTGTTTCATGTTGGAAAAAATAATTTTACCACAAATCGGCAGCCTGACGCAGTCCTCGAACCACGTCAGTACTGCCTCCTCACTCACGCTCACGTCCTTTAGCAAATCAGCCTGGTATGCCTGCAATATAGACATTGTATGCAGACACGACGCAGCCTGACCTGCCGCCAAATACACTTTACAAAGCCGAAATATTTCATAATGGCTTGGAAGGTAATGCCGGTGCTTTGAATGACAATGCAGCCTCGGAAGAGAGATAGCTCGCAAGCGTCTCTTCTACCCGCGGCAAAGCGCCGTCTTTTCTTTTCAAAAACCTAGCCCCCGCTAAATCTGAATATGTGAATGATTGGGGGCTAAAATTATATCAGAAGCCTGCTTCTTCCATAATCTCGACACCTCAGTATGGAGATCATGAAAAAACGGCAAGCACCGGCATGGAGGTTGCACACGGGAAGGGAGAAATCTTTCACCTAACTTAGATTTAATAACAGACTCCTGCCTAGCCACTGGCCACTCAATGCTTAGTTTTGATACAGCTCGAGTGAGAACCTCCTTGAGCTCTTCGCTTTCGGGAGTGTTAGGTGGCGAGTCCTCCACATCTCCCTCGTCAATACTGCTATTTTTATCTCCTAGTTTTTATAACTAACGTTAGATAGTTGCAGTACTGGTGCCTCAGCCCGGGCGGAAGAAACCGCAGAGCGTGCTTCCAAACCGGGCTGAGACACTGGATCTAACAGGTAAAGGCAGAGATAAGGCAGAGCCCGTCTCTAACCCCGCTGAAAGATCCATTTGCGATCCCCACGATAAGCGTCGCCGCTCAGCCTCGGCAGAAGCGGGACTCGAACCGCGGGGAGCGCGCACCGAGCACTCTCCTCAAAGAGCGCCCGGCGGGAGCGGAGCGTCCATAAAGGCAGACGCTCGCAATGCTCGCAGCCAGCCCCCTCGAGAGCTGACTGGGCATAATGCACTCCCAAACAAACAACACAAAGAACGTGTGTATCCCCGCCCGTTAGATAGCGCGAGCAGGGAGGAACACACTTCTTAAATGCCGTTCGCTCGCCATAGTCTCTCATACAAAATTGTTTGTGTGGTGTAAATGTGATAACTCCTGCCTAGCAAATACTAAAGACAGACACAGTGTTTACATTCAGACAGATTCACATATAGCGCGACTGAAGGCACAGAAGCTGATGCGCTTGTGTTTTTGGGGTGCTTTATAGTTTCCTGGTCGATGACGTCACCCGCCTATGACGTTCCGTCTCTCCATTGGGCTGATTCCATACGTGCTTCATGACGCACAACGCAGGGGCGTTCCCACAGCGTTTGACGCAGCTCGAAGTTCCCTTGAAAGGGAACAACTTGGTAAACATTTGTACCCTTACACAAAATTCCCAATTGCAAGGATTCTGATTGGAATGCCTGTATTTTGCCCAGCAATGGTAAATGTGACCACACCTTTAGAATCTGTAATAATCATGCTCCCTATGTTCTGGAACAGCATTTGTGTTAAAAGCACACCTACAGTATGATGCTGCCTATGTAGGCAGTTCACTAGGTTTAGAAACACTGCCACTATATAAACCGCAAGTGTTACTCTAAAAACTATACAATACAAATAGCATCCAAATGGATGACAGTTTGACTTCTTGCTCTGTTTACACTTTGAATTTAGAATGTTTTCCAGATAAAATCAAAATGAACAGAACCAACATTCAGCGATGGCTGTGACCCTTTTAAAGAGTTGACAGAGGAAGTGATTTTACAGCTCTATGGCGCCCTCCTCCTCCAACAGGGAAACTTACTCAGGTTGAAGTAAGGGGTTTGTGGCGAGACAGGGAAGGCAGGGGTTTGGGGTAGGGCCTCACCACCAACGAACGGAGGGGGGCTGACGGGACCCCCATCCATTTCCTCAAATGCTTCTCTGTAGCTATGCATGTGTCTCTGGAGAAAGAAGGACAGGTGGACACATATCCATATACAAATACATCCACATTTATTTCTGAGATTAATACTGGGAAAAATGCAAATATGTCCATTCAGTTGGTCTACCTCCTTGGGCCGTCCCCCAGGGTTCAGAGCAATCGTATTGGCCAGCTCGGGTGAGATGCAACGAATGGGGGAGCGGACCGAGCTTCCTCGGGTTGGGCTCTCATCTTGGGAAAGGCCCTCACTGGTAGTCCGGCACCATCCAGGAACTGAAGCCTCGTCTGGTGACATTTCACCAAACTGAACTCCTTCCAAGAAAATAAATACATGACATCATCTCTAACAGATAACTATTAGGGCCTGCAGAAGAACATTCATCACACTTTAAATTAAGAAATATCCAAATGTCAGAATTAACTCTCTGTCAAAACCTGCACTGACGTCCAATACGCACCACATTAAAGCCTGTTGGAGCTACAAACAATGTTCTCATTCAAACAGCCTAGATTACAAAAAGCTGGAATATTAGAGAAACTCAGTGGAATTAAAGGGTAGTGTGCACTTCTGGATAAAGCTCTGGAACTGCCTCAAAGCAATTCTCAAGCCTATTTCATCACGTTCTGTTTGATACAAAGAGATGACGGTGTAAATGAAACTGGATTTGTGTAAGTCTTCTCTAGTAGGAAAGGAAAAACAGAGAACAGAAATGGATAACTGAAGACGTTTGGTAACTAAAAGCAAATGAAATGCATCTCAATTCATTCATTTAACTTGTTTTCTATGACACACATCACTATTATTGTTGTCTTAAGAATATATTTAAAAAGTCATTCAATAACAAAAAAATGTAGCATAAAAAAATTGCCCAATTTGTTAAATGTAAAATAGCCTACTCTAAAACAGTAGTTGAAAATAAGCATGATGTTCACACTGTTATCCATTAAGTGAACATATGCAATCTAAATAAAACTAATTAAAATATTTTCATTTTGATATAAGTCATTAGCTTAGTGACATGCTAATACCAAACTCCATAGAAAGTGTGAGTAAAATCTCCAGTATGCTTTGCGTGGGTTGCTAGGCAGTTAGTGTTGGGGGGGGGGGGGGGGGGGGGGGGGGGGGGGGGGGGGGCAAGTGTTTCTCTTGTAGGAAGGGAACGATAGGAAATAGAAATGACTAAGATGAAATGAAACCATGAACATGAATGATACCTAAAAAACCTGCTACTGCTACTTTTCAATAGAATGCATTAAAGGAGTCATATCAAGAGATTTGAACATCATGGAGAATGTTTTGACTCTTTTGATATTCGCAACCATCCCAAACACCCTAACAACTCCCTAGAAACCACTCGAAACACTAGCAACCACAGAAGAATGTTAAAACAGAAAACCAGAATAGCAACCACATAGCAACACAGAAAAAATAATTTGAGAGTCTTTAAATTTCTCTTCAGTAGGGGGGTGTGCACTAGGCTTAAGCAAAGCTATTTCACAATTTACTGTTAACTTACAGATAAGGAAAAAGTATGTACAGTCACACACAGTTTTAAGACCATTTAACTGGACTCAGTTTGAGACATAGCAAAGCATTAATACATTCTGGTGGGAGTGAGTGGAATATCTCGGAAACCGGGCAACCGGCTGAGCAAAATATTTACTAGCTCCCTGAGCGCGGCCTACGATTAATACGTTTGGTCAGACCTTCAGACCATCAGAACCTCACGTGCGCTGGGAAACAACTTGAGAGAGATTGACCACTTCCACTTCTGGACTAGTGGCCACCCTTGTTCTTAAACATGACGTTAGCCAGACGCTCTGACACCCAGGCTGCGTTTAAACGGCTTCTGGGGTTCTGCCCACAAAACAAGCCTTTCAGAACAATAGAGTAGTGATGTCACAAAGGGAGGGGTCTTCAAGAGGACGCTCACACTCCATCTGCAATCTATTAGCATGCCTGGATGAGATTCATGCGGTTTCTACGACAATGTCAAACATGCGGATTCCAAAACTGACTGGTCTGGGAAGCGATGAATCCAGCGCTTGGATGTGCTGAGATATCATATGGTGTATATCCCCGAGTGTCACTTCAGACAAGGTCGGGAGAGGAAACATGCAAAACAGATGTAGTACGCCAGATCTACAGCTGTGCATGACAAACTGTGCTGTTACCTTAGTGATCACACTGTCTTAATAGATTCAAGCTGCTGTAACTGAGGAACTGATTATGTTTTTTTAATCAGAGAAGCCATCATTTAAACCAAACAAACACTATTAGATTCAGAATGTTTAATGAAAGAAGTAAAATACACTAAAAGGCTTAAGTAGCATTAATATGCACCAATATAACAATATAAACAAGAATGTTTACTGTACCTACCTAATATCTTCCTACCTAATAATTCATGAGTACATTCTGAGTGATTACGACAAATATATAGTTGAATCTTATTAACGGATTCACTGCATTGTTGTGTAAAATAACTAAAATTATTACAAATGATTTTTGTTAATAATATAAGATAAAAAACTAGTATAAATATATACTAAGATAATATACATATATATATATATATATATATATATATATAAAGGATAAAAGACCCATGAGAGAAAAGTTTATTCTTTTCCTGGCATAGCTTACTCCTTTCTAAACCTCATGTATTCAGCATGAGGTGAATGAGATATCTACACAGAGAAGCAGGACTGCTCTTTTTCTCTCCATAGTGTTGTTAATGCCATTGTTATATCTGTAATGGGTTGGATCAGACTCAGGAGAAGTCCAAGACAAACATTCATCCTGGTAACTGGCTACCGAACACAGCCTGCATGGGCCCACGAACGGGACCGAAGGCAGTCAGTGTACTAGACGTTTACTCCCTAGTGGCAGATAAGGATGGTATAATGGTCTCCAGACTCAGAGAGGATTTATTACCCTTTGTCCTTCATCTAAATGCTAAAACAGAGGTAAAGAAGAGTCCTTGAATGAAGCCAGTGTCTGTTCGCCTTGGTATTGTTCTCCAGGTCTGGCAGACTGGATCTTGTGACATGGGCTCAGTTGATCCAGACAGACTGGCCTTTGTCCTGCTGCAGTGTAACTTTAACTCGACACATAATACAAATGCAATTTGTTTGTAGAGGTCACCTAGCACAAAGGAGCAAACTAAAGCTTTTACTACTGTTAACTGTTATTCCACCCAAACAAGGTGAAAAAAAATCCAGCACAGGTTAGTGGTTAAGGAAGAGGGTTAACACAGTAAGGAGAGAAATAAAAAGAGAAAACATAGTAAAAGAAATAAATGACAAATAGGAAAAGGGACTTCATTTTTTCTAATAACTATTGCCTCCTACAGTTTATTCCTTAGGTAGATAGTTCTACCAAAAATGTATATTGTGTCATTATTTACTCATACTCTGGTCGAAATCTGTATGGCTTTTTTTCTATGTGGAAGACAAAAGATATTTCTATGATTGTTTTAACTGTTTTTGTCGATAAAGCCATGACAAATGAAAGTAAATGGTCTTTCATTACATGAAAAAAAAAACACTGAGACAAAAACAAATCTTCAAAATATATTTAAAATGTCTAAAATGTTCTGCAAAAGAAAGTCATCCATTTTCATATTTTTTTTTTTAACTATGCCTTAATATTTACTTTAGTTTACACTTTTTATTTTATTTTTATTACAATTTTATTTTATTTATCATCCAATTAGAATTTAGTCACAATGGTTTGTAATAATAATATTGCAGATAACCTAAACACGTTTTATAAAAGCAAGTACTCTCACTGAAGTAAACAAGAGCGAGGAAAGATAGGGGGCGAAAGCGAGAGAGAACCGAGATATAGCACACAACCACACAACATGCAGAGGTGTTATGAGTTAATGTTAATGGAGGCACAGTGCATCAGAGGACCAACCGCTGAAGGAGAAAGAGCGGCGGCGTTGGCCGAGCTCAGGAATGCTCTGTCTATCACTGATGACTCGGATACGAGCAGTGTACTCTGCACACCACCGGGAAGAGGAGGAGGAGGAATGATGGACCATGTCAGGAAGTAAAGGAAGAAGGTGAAGAGGAGGAAGGGAAGGCGGAAGTGATGATGGGACGGGTGTTCCACAAACAGGATAAACATAAGAGGATGAGAGGAGAAAGAGGGTGGGGGAGAGAAAACATTAGCACATGTCAAGCTAGCATATTGCTAATGGCAAATGGCTTGAATCAAATATGGGCGATCGGTAGGAGCTAGGCAACATAGCTAAAAAATTTTTTAAAAACTTGCAAATAAATTATGCATTTTATTGCACAGTCCTAACATGTAGTATATGTTTGCCTTAACTGCGGTAAGTACGATAAACACACTCTATCTGTGGGGTCACACTGCGAATGGTAAATGTAGACAAAGTGTTCCCTAATTCCAGATAGTGACACGTCTGATAACCAAATCCCAATACTAGATACTGAGAGCTCTTCAAACAGTGTGGCAAGAGCTTGTGTCAAGAGCTAGGACTCAATGTAAGGTTACAAAGTAAGAGAGCAGCTTCCTCCTCTTGCTGTCCTTCCCATTACTGGAACACTTATCTATGCCGAGTCAACAATACTACTAAGCATTGGTCTGCAATAAAACCGAAACAGAGCTGACTAGTTTTGTCCATGAGAGCCTTATCCAAGTTGTTTCCTCTCAGGTTTAATGTTGGTTTCCTGCAGCATGCGACCTTCAACACCTGTCTGATGCTTCTTAAACATCCATTTTGTAAGATATTAAAGATAAAGGCGGCATATTCACTGTAACACCTGTACTGTACAACCACTAGGCGGCAACAGTGAGCCCAGAGTCAATGCATCGTTCCTCATTCCAATAACAATGTTTTACATTAATGTTTTTGACAGACATTTAGGATTAGATGAAAGTGTATATGCTGTTTATGATGTTTTTGGTTGTAGGATCCATCAGCAGTATGTGATCGACTTAGTAATACATCTGTAATTTAAACTCAACATCGCAAAAACCTAAACAACTCATGGTGAATTTAGCATGCAACAAAACAAGATTGGTTCAACAAACAACTCGAATGTGCTGGCATTATTCTAAAACCATCACAAGGGAAAAACCTAGGCTTCCAGGAAAATCGTTTTAAACTTTCAAGCTGAACAGATAATGTTAACATAAAAAAAGAGCACTGCCGTATAACAGCCCTCAGTTGTTTGGGCACCTCTCCAGATGTAATGTACAAATGTTCGGTTTTGGCTTGGCACAAAACAGAAATGCGGTCTGATATTGAGTCTTAAGCCAGAAGCACTTTGGACAAAGCTTTCTTTGTGATCTCACGGTGCTTATGTCAACGCCAACAAAGAAACTCCACCAAAAAAGGCACCGCCTTGAGTGTAAAAGACAAGCTCAACTCATGCACTCAAGACAGGCATGGAAATGTTTTCCTTTAATATATTTCCCTTGATAAATTGTTTCAATTTGCATTTTGTATACATAAAAATATGCAGGAGTAATGTAGCCTAATGGTTCAAAATCTTGGCTGGTTACTGCCCATGGGTTGATCTAAAAACACTATTGTACCTTTGAGCAAGTAAATGGATTCTGAAAGTGTTAAAAGAGGTATTTTAAAGGTTGCTCTTACCAGCTACACGGTGAGCTACAAGACCATCCAATTTGTAGTTGGCATCTTCTGGTTCAGACTCTTTGGGCAGAGGGGATGAGGATGTAGAGTAGCTACACTGGGTCTCCTGGGGCTCAGGGGACTGGGATGTGGTACTTGAGGGGTAAATGTTGAGGGGTTTTAACTGAAGAACTCCAAAGGTGGAGGAAGGCACTGTGGACCTGGACATGGGAGCTTGACCTTCTGCCTCAGAAGGGAATGCAGCATGCTGGGATATGGCTGTGGGTCTCTGCTGGTTCATGTTGGGTTGTGGAGGTTCTGTGGCTACCTGTTGAAATGCATATGGGTATCCAGCCAAAGTGGCCCCTCCACGGTCATGAATGGCTGCGTCAGCCTGGTAGGATGGCCGTGCCTGGGTTTGAGAGAAAGACGGCTGGGTGGTGACTACACCACCTTCTCCAGTTGGGGCACTATGGGACTTGGGGACTTGAGTAAGTGCTGGGTCAAGGTCCAGCATCAGCATGTTGAGGGCCTCAATGGACTGTTCAATTTCTTGTTGAGATGCCATAGGAGGGAACTCTGGAAGGCTGTGGGATTCTAGTACAGGGTTAAATGTGACCCCATCTGTGACTGGGACCTCAGGAACACCATATTGTTGCCACACATTCAATCCCCTCTGCACTGCATCCCTACTGCTCGTTGTGCGTGTGGGAGCTCTGGGCATGGATTTCTGCTCCATGGTCGGATTTGTCCCTAATGATTGAGACCGGTAGATGTTGCCATTCTGGTTGGTGTTGCCACTAGAGACCCCCAAGTGCTCCTGGACAGATGAGGAGCTGTGAACTCTGGGCTCAGGCATTTTCTCTTGGACACCCTTGTCCAAGTAGGGCACATCTTGTCCATTAATAACCGTCTCCGACTGGTAGTATAGATCCGCTGGAGTTGCTCTGCCCTCAAATGACGAGAGGGTTCCGAGACTGTCCACACTGTTCCCTTCCTGGCTGTTGGGCAGGTCATCATCAAGTATATCTGTCTCTCTATCTATGTTGTTGTGTCCGTTGACGTGAACCTGGGCAGGGACGAGGTGTAGGACTCCTCCGCCTCCGCTGCCAGAGCTGCTTTGGTAACCTATCCGATGCATTGGTGCTTCCAAACCACTGAGCAACTGGTCTAGCTCCTGTTTTTCCTCTGGGCTTAGGGGCTGGGAGGACGGCTGACTCACCAAGGTCGGCTGATGGCTGGCTTCATCTGTGCGGTCGGTCTTGATGGAAGCAGTGGAGTTGCCAGAGTCACTGCTTACAGACAAGGCATGGTCAACTGGTGGTAGAGTCTGGTCTACAGCAGGTAAAGCATGATCGACAGCAGCTGGGAGACCATTAGTTGTGACCACTCCCTCCAAAGACTCTTTCTTCCGAACCTTAGCGTAGAGACTACCATCCAATGGACCTTCTGTGTGAATAACGTCTGTAGAAGACAAAAAGAAAAACGGAATGCTTTAATGAGTTCAGCTATTTCATATATAGATATAAAAGCAATAAGCCGATTCACATTGTGCCTAAGAACACCAAGTTATATCAGGTTAATTTGTACATTTATGTGTTACATTACTTAATTATACTATTAGGTCCTACCAGCTAATGAAGTTCTAGCTAGCAAAATCATGCATTGGCATGGTAAATAACAAATACTCATTGAGGGCAAAAAAAGTAGCATTCAGCCCATTCTTTATGTATGCGGACATAGCAAAAGCTATACTCTTCACTACAATGGTAAAACAACATGACAAAATGCATTCTAAATCCCAACATATCTGGACATTAAACACTATTGCAGTTTAAAAAACATTGTTCTTATCTTATTAACACTTACAGTAGCACTACATTTCAACATTTCTTCTACCCAATCAAGTCCCATGCAAAGCATTCTGGGAACTACTATTCTCTTGCCCAGTTTCAGTTAAAGTTAACCCAAAAACAAATGTTGTATTGGGCCATATTTACTTTTTTTTTGTATGGACAGTAAACATTGAGATAAAATATATGCTTTTGTCTTGCACAGAAGACAGACATGTATACAGGTTTGGAAACAGTGAGTAAATGATGAAAGAATTTTCATTTTTGGGTGAACTATCCCTTAAATGGCACCAAAAGTAGTCTTTATTGGAGAAAATGATGCCAAACCCTTATTTGTAGTGGACTACTGAGATACTTGATTGTTTTTAAACCATGTAAACACTTATGAAGTGAGCACTCAGAATATGTAAAAACAAGCAACTTTTTGAAAGTCATATAAAGTATTCTCTCCTAAAACATGCACGTGCATCTACACATGCTCTGAATGGCAGCTCCACCTCGTGCAAGGAGTCAGTTTGCACCTCTCAAGAGAGGAACCACGCTCCCAGTCCAAGTCAGTGACTCACCAGTGGAAAAATCACCACATACAAGATTGGAGCCATTTCCTGTCTCCCTGGAATTGTAGCATCATTTCCTATACTCACACATTTACACACACATGCTCGGACACTTAACACAAACACATACACACCTATTTTGGGGTGGCTGTGTGTCAATGTATCTTTGGCTCTTAATAATCAGTGTCTTGTTTCCCTGTGGTCATGGATTTTAATAACAGACTGTAACTGTTTTCTGACTTTCCAAAACCACTAAGCCACTGTTTGACAGTTCACTCTGCAATGGACTTTTGATATCATCAATGCATTGCAATCCCAGAAAAAGAAAAAAAAAAGAGCTGTGTTCTGTTCAGTGTGCTTGGGAGAATGAGACAGCCTCAAAACCACAGACTGTGACAAAATGTCATTCATTCAGATAAAGCCAGCCTGAAACACTCACGCTGAGTTTCCCATGGTGTCTTAATGCAGGATCTGTCGAGCCGCAGATCTGATAATACAGCGGGGAAAAGTGGGCACAATACTCTGGGTTCTACTGTGCAGTTTTTTGACACTCTAGCACTAATAGCTGAAGACGAGAGACTGTGGCTCCCTAGTCATGAACAGTCGGACTTGTGAGTTTTGGCATAAAGTTTGACCCACAAATGCTCACTTAAATGAGAAGCAACCGATGTCAAGTGACCAACCGCAGCTTGCCTTATTTTTAAGTGCCATTTAGAGTTGTTTTATCTGAAATTATGATATCAAAATAAATGCAGCAGGGAAAAACTCATATTAATGACGCAGAAGTATTGGCCCATGACCAATTTCCCAATTTGATGTGTTTTTAAAAGTCAATTTTTGTACATTTGTAAATATTCTACCAAACAAATAATGTGCTTAATTATTAATAAATTGCATTGTTATTAATTTTCAATATAGAATGAGATATTGAAACCATCTTCAGAAAGGTAACAGGGTTAACATTTACATTACAAGCCTTGAACAAGATAATTTAATGCTGATATTTCAACAAATAACACATTTCCACTTGTCCAAATTGACACATTTCCAGTTATTTTCTATTTTAAAAAATCAGATTATTATTTCACAGACATTAAACAAAGTTAAATACACAGTGAATATCTAGTTTACTTGCTACTAAGCGCCTCAAAATATTCGTTCAAAGATCTGATGCCACTAACCTGCTAAACTATGACTTCTGGTGCTTTCAACCAGGGCTGCAATATGCAGTTTGAGACTAACAGTTCCCTCAAGCTCCTTAAAAATAGACATCCCGGGTTACCTCAAGTGACCTGTTGACCTTTAGGTTGTAGATGTCTTCTTGCAACAAATTCAATGATCACCTTTGGCCCCATGTCACATGCAGCTATGTGACCTACTGGTTTGAGAGGAGGTTAAACACGAGAGTACACAAGCTGATGTCTGTCAAATGCTGCCAACTTTGATGTTTGTTGCAGATCAAATGTAAATCGGTCTATTGACCAGATGAAAAACTATCCACATGCCTCATATCAGGTTAGTATAGATCTGTATAGTCACGATAACAGCAGTTTTCCATTTTCAAAACCAATTTTCATTTACCAGCAACACCTATTATTCTATTAAACACACGAAAAATACAATAACTATAAAATAATGACACATAATCTCTCAATTAATGGAATACTTTTCCAAGTAATTATTGAAGTAAATGGTACGACAGTTAGTGGCAATTCTTGTCTTTTATTAACAGCACAATAAATAGAATTTGTGTCTATTAGTCTTCCTTTACACTGCAAAACCTAGGTACCACAAAAATATTAGATTTTTCTTTTTACTGTATTTTTGATCAAATACATGCAGCCTTGGTGAGCATTAGAGACATATTTAAATTATTTATGCATATTAACAAAAGGATGTTCAAAAGCAGCTACCTATTATTAAGTTTGAACACTATACTATTTTTTTCCACTATTGCTTTGGTACCAAAGTACAACAGTACCAACAGTAAATTTTGACATCCTTAAAGCCAAACATTGTAGGAATGAATTTGAAAGTCAAAACTGAGATGTCTCTGTTTATTTCTCCTCTGTGTGACCAGGCTTAGCGCCAGAATTTTCCTTTAGAAGCATCGCATGGAAAAAATGAATTTTCCCCCCAGAGTTTCCCCTAACAATCCCCCAGCTGTTTCAAACATCTCCCAGCGCCCTAGTACTCCAAAATAACCCCCACCCTGAGCCACAGAGTAGCCTTGTATAAACCACTCAGCAGGTTAAAACTTCAACCGTGTCATCTCAGATGAGCCGAATGGATCTCATGTTTTATTTGCACCTCAAAAACACCTCATGAGCTAATACTGACATCAGAGGAGCTGTCGCTGTCATTAGAGTCCTGCATCTCAATGTGGAATCAGACACGCCTCTTTCATGAAAAAGAAATCGCTTTCTATTTCGGAATGCTTTTTATCACCTGTTTGCAGACATGGGTGATATCACATCATCAGCAGCTTGCGTTTATCCCTAATCATCACCCATAAAAATAGCAGGATGTGAACACATTGTGAACAGCACAAAAATCACAAAAAGAACCGTAAGGAAACGCCCCTACCTGCCTTAGTGCACTCTGTAAGTGTCCAAGAAGAAAGTTTTAAAAAGTGTCTCTGCTTTCTTGCTCTCGAGCCCCAGCAGCTCAACATTAGCGAGCTGTGGGAGTAGTTTTGGATCAGAAAGCTCTCTCCTCTTTCTCCACCTCCTGTTCTAACGAAACTGTTCTGCTAAAGATGACATGACTCTTTCCTTCTCGTTGGATGTACAACACCCCTAGTAAGGTGGGTGTGAATTTATCCTCGCCCAGCTGTGGGTCTGGTGTCTACTAGAGTGACATCACTGGGGCTTTCTTTGTCGGATAGGCTTGTTATCCTTCACTAACTCCCTGGCTGTGCTCCAAAACCCAGTGAGATGCCTACATAGGCAACATTTAAAGGCATCATTTGAATGACACAAAGATTGTTCCAACAGACACTTCTAAGAACCTTATGCTGGCCAAATTCTACAGCAGCATGCATCTTTTACAGTTACAAACAAACAAGCAAGAGATGTAGATTATAATTCAATATTAATTAAAAAAACAACATAATTAAATGTACTTAGACCTTTATCCATTTAATTCCAAACAAATAGTTAAAAGTTCATCTTTGCACGATTCTAACCAAATCAACTGTGCAAACTGTATAATGCAGGACGTTTCTGTCTACGTAGAGCCTTCCGAATCAGTCTCTTATGAGGTTCCTGCAGTTATGACCGGGTCTAGAAGTATGGTGACCACCTGCCCCACATTTTGGGTCACTCAAACCTGGACAAATTGAGTGCCAGTCACAGAGTCGGTCACAAAGCTTACTGCCAATTTAAAGCATGTTATTATGTGTCATACATCACAGCAAACAGACTTTCTAACTAGTACTATAGTCTATAGTAGTACATTTTCAATTTATAGTAGTCAAAGTAGTCCACAATAACCAGGTGGTCAATTCACTAAGAAGACAGCTGTCTATGTAGACACTACACAACAAGGCAGCTTACTAGATGGAACATAACCCTCTCAAACAGACAGTCGAGGGCTCTCACTGGCCCAAATTCAATAATATAGTGTTTCCCAATAGTCAGTAGGCAAAACAGTAGGCCAACCTGACATTGCATTACTACACATTACTTTGGTTTGTCAGTGGTTGATGCATTCAAGGTGCTGCAAGTGATTGCTTTAAGGAGTATGCATAAAACAAATTTCTTAACTGGTGGTAGGCAAGGCAAAAACAAAACAAAAAAACAACGACAACAATGTATGTTTGTAAAAATCACATATTAACATACACACCCACACACATTTTTCCAGAATGACCTCTTGCCACTTGGAGATGAAAAAAAAAATGTACTGGGAGATGTTTTCGGAAAATTGTCAATGCAGTCTCAGTATGTATGTATACATGTCCTATTTCTTTCACAAAAAGTCCTAAATAAATAAATAAAATAGACTTATACAAGCATGACATATTGGCTCATGGTGAGCGGAAAAAGCGGAC